TTTGCCATGCCCCTCCAGATGGTGGAAGTCCATAAATGGATCTGAGGGCCAGCCATACTTTGTCTTCCTCCCCTGAACCGAAATATCCAGGGGCCGGGCGGACGTATGTCTCAACTGGGTTGTTGCTGTTAAGGTATGCAGCGATGAAGTTGATCTGCCAAATCTTAAGGCCAAGAGATGCAGCAACAGTGGCGGTTATCCTGAAGGACTCAAGGCGAACAACTGCAGCATATCATAGTGCCTTCTCTATTTCTTGACGTGATCCATCAATTAAGAAGCGGGCCTTGTTGCCAATGATGTTCCCGTCGGCATCGAACTTGTGAGTGTATTTCCACATGGAAGGCAGGATTTGTGCACCGCCAGGTGGAGTGACAGTTTTGAAGACACCTTGATCACTCATCATCTTCATCTCTGCATCCATCACCGGCTTCCATATCTCTGGCTGTAGCATAGCCTCTTTGTAGTTTCGAGGTAATCCAGGTGTGGCCATGAGTGCGATGTGGTCATTGCGGGAGGAGAGGAAACCATCCGTGTCAACAGCGAGGAATGATTTCTTCTTAGGGTCATTGTTCATTGCCCACTCGTTCTTCTGTGCTTTGGCCTCAGCCTCCCTGGCTGCAGATTCCTTGGATTGGAGAGCGGTAGCGGTAGGTGTTTTGATGTGTTCTGATCGACGGGGCTGTGTGACCGCTTCCACATTCGGCGTGATCTGCGAGTAGGGTGGAGCGGCGGATCGGTGATGCGTGGTCAAGGGGCAACGGGTGGGTTCGGGTGTATGACAGGAGTGGCAGTAGTGGCAGGTGGGGTGTATGGAATGGGCTCTGTGGACTTGTCCTCGCTGTAGGTCATAGTGAGGGTACAGTGACCAGTACCCTCCTTGAAGATAACATTTCGAGCTTTTACTATGGTTCCGGATGAGGCATGGTCATAGAGTTTGTAGGCGTCCCTGCCGTAGTATCCAATCAATGTGTATTTGATGGATCTGGGTGAGAGTTTTGAGTGATCGATCTCAGGAGGTATCTGAGCATCGGTGTCGCTGCCTATGGCACGGAGGTGGGAGATGTCTTGTCGTTTCCCATGCCAAACTTCGGCCAGGATTCTGTCTTTGTGGTGTGAGGATGGTACGAAGTTTTGAAGATAGGTGACAGTGGTGGCAAGCTCAGCCCATAAAGAGTGTGGAAGGCCTGTGTCAGCGAGCAAGCAGCGAATACCTTCAATGATCGTGCGAATGCTGCGTTCGGCTACCCCATTTTTGGCCGTGGGCATAAGGGGCACCAGATTCCATCACTATTCCCATGTCACGTGTATATTCGGACCATAGAGCGTTATACCATTCTTTGCCCATGTCAACTCTGATTCTTCTTAACTTCCTCCCAGTTTGCCATTCAGCTTCAACATGGAACACCTTGAAGGCTTGTAAGGTTGCGGCTGCAGTCTTTTCAGAGAGAAAGTACGTCATTTTGTAGGAGGATGCGCCATCAATGATGATCATCATGTAGTAGGCACCACCGGCAGATCGCGTCCGAACAGGGCCATGTAGATCAATGTGAACCCTTTTGAGGATTTCCTCTTCTGGAGATACTTCCTCATCGTATGGTCGGGCTGTTTGTTTTCTATATACGCAGTCCTCACATAAGCCTTGGACGTCAACATCTCCTTTGACGTCTAGACCATCGATGAGTTCTCTATTTATCATCTCACGAATTCTGCTGACAGCTACATGTCCCAGACGTCTGTGCCAGTTATCGAGCGTTGTAGGCTTCTCATGGGACTTGGTGGCCATCGCTGTGGGGGACTTTTGGTGTATGGTATTGAGGAGATACATCCCCGCTTTGCCCATGCCTACCATAAACTTCTTCCCATGTGGGTCAATGAATACGGCACATCCCTTCGCAAAGGTAACGGTGTAGCCTGCACCATCAAATTTGCTGATGGAGACCAGCTTTGCTGCGAGATCAGGGGTATACAGGGCCGATTTGAAGGTAATTGTTGTGCGTAAGCCGTGGGATTCAATGACTTTCGTGACCGAACCATATCCCAGGATCTTGAAGATCCCTTCTTTGTTCGCAGATTGTCCTTCACGAGGTGTGGTGAGTGTAATGTACTCGGTAAAGTCCTCTCTGTTTACGAAGCAGTGGTCGCTCACTCCGGAGTCTGCGTATGTGCGGATTCCATCAAAGGCTGTGCTCAGTTTGGCCGACATCACTAGCGGGTCGTGGGCATGTTCTAGCGTAGGCAAGACCTCCTCCGGATCGAGATCATCAGCTCCAGGTACCGTAATTCCCCATGATCCTATAGGGTAAGCTTCCATCAAGCATTCCTTCGATGCGATAAGTCTCTCAGTTCCTGACACTATTTCAACAGTGTCCTCCCCTAGCTCTGTAATCATTGATCTTTTGTTGAGGATAGCTGGAGCAGTGAGCCTTGAAGCTATGAGTGCGTATGTGGTCTCAACAATGGTTACATTCGCAGAAGGGGTGGCGGCAGAGAGAGCCGAACCTTTGTCGCCACCTCTCTTTCCAAAACCAGGTGGGAACTGGCCTTCTTTCCCTCCCCCTTTCCAGTAGCAGACCTCAATCGTGTGACCAGGGCGGTGACAGTTGGAGCATTGGGGTCTAAGCCTTTTGGTGCTAGTCTGGAGAACAGTGGTAGTGATCGGCTTGTTCCAAGAGATGTGAGTCCAATGCATCGAGAGTCTCGTGATTATCTCGATTGAGGTTTTGGCTTTGTAGAGAGTTGCGACGACGTTATCCCAGGATTGGGGGAGTGAGGTGAGCAGTACCATCCTGAACTCACTGTCGCTGACTCCCGCACCCACAGCATTAGCAAAGGACCATTTGGTGCGTAGGTTTGCGATGTGAGTGAGGTAGTCTTCGCCATCATTGAGCTTGATGCTTCGGAGCTCACGTTGGGCATTGACAATCACAAGATCGGATCCCACTTCATATAGGTCTGTGATCGACTTCCAGGCTTCAGCAGCAGTGCCTGACATGTTGATGCCCAGGCCGACGGGGTTCAGGGAATTGAAGACTATCATACCCATGATCCATGCATCACGGGTAGTCCATTCGTCGCCAGACGGTGATTTCGATGGCCAAGTAGTAGGCTCAGGGGGAATTAAGGTGCGTGCGGGAATGTCGCCTGTGGTGGCCGTATTAGGTGTACTAGCCGTCGGAAGTGGGCTAGGTCGTAAGATTGATCCGTCGAGGTATCCTCCGCCGCCCTTAATGTTGACAGCAATCCGAACTCTAGGGCCCCACATCGGGAAGTTCGTGCCGTCAAACTTTCCCCATCAGGGAAGATTGGCGGATTGGAGGAGGTAGTGGATGACATCTGTAGTGTGTGTGCGAGTGCCTAAAGTATGTGTCTGGATGCTTATGCGCGAGCAAGGCTCATAACCTATAGAAGCGTATCTTAGCGTCCAACACGAAGTGGTGACAACTCAAGTATAAATACCTATAGAAGTGTATCTAAATACAGGATGAGCAATGCAATTATAAGTGTGATAATAAAACAGGCATACCTTAGCGTCCAACACGAAGTGGTGACAACGATCGTGGAAATGCTCGATCGAAGGAAATACACTAAAATACCCGAACGCCGATGCCACGATCGTTGATTTTTAGTAAAAAAGCCCCGAACGCACGATAGTAAAAAACATCTGAGCTTAATGTACTCTCTTATACCCATAGCTTAATCACATCCTATTTTCACACATGGATATCCATAGCTATTTTTTGCGATTTCAGCGGGTGTGTGCACTGTGAGAGAAATTCACGCCTTTAAGTCTCTTTTGAGAGCTTCTTCGTGTTCCTTTTTTCCAGTGAATGTTTAGCATGGCTATGACGGCCTCTTTTACAGACTGAAGATGATGGTGGGGTAAAAGGTACCTGATGGATAGTTCTGGAAACGCGAGACCCCTTGACCGTTTTTTCATTCATTTTTTTTTCAACCTCTTCCATTATCAATATTCCATCTTATAGGCTTATATCGATATTGCTATAATGTGGTGTTTCTCCATCGACATGTGGCACTGTGGACTGGCTCAGATATTTATTGCAGATTCGGGATACATTTATCTTTATAGGGATGTGGGTTTCCTGGATTTCCAAATATTTAATGGTGCATACCAATTTTTTTAAATTTCTTTCTTCTCAGTTTACTGAGCTCTGTTCTTGTATATTCTCTTTACTTGTAGGTGTACCTCATCCACATCTCTTTTCAACGATGATATTTCTCTTCTATCGTGCTGTATATTACTCCTGAGAAATTATATGAGTATTTCGAAGGTAAAAAAGAATCAATGACTAGAGATGTGCGTTTATTGGAGGCATCAACTGAATATTATATACCAACTTTAAAGTTGTTCTGGAAGATCACATGAGGAGTCCTTGTTATTCTTCGACGCTCCCTGTGCTGGACATCTGATATCTCTTCCGGTTTTAGGCGCAACTAATACTTGCATCTTTATGGCTAAAAGACGTATGAACGTGCTCACACACTCAAGACAAGGGAGGATGATAAGGGTCAACGTTGCAACAGTGATTCCTGAAATTCTGGATTTCTTCAACCTAATTTCTTCACTATAAAATACGTAGATTATATTTACTTCGATTTTATCTACCACATGGTCTATTTTATTTTGATATTCCTACGTTGGAAGGAAAGTGTATTTGTAGAGTCCATCATCGGTGTAATGCTAAGATTCTCGTACCATTGGTTGTTAGTGAACCAATCAACTTACTTGCTGCCAAACCGGGCATGAATAATCGCCATCACTGCTTGCACTCTGCATTGCCATGCATTGGCGTATTACTAAGCGTACCAACCTGTGTAGTTAACTGTGAATGGGCGGTTAAAGGAGAACACACAGGGAAAGATCTTGTGAATTCAAAAGAGCAGTCAAAATAGTAAAGAATAATCTTACGTATCGACCTGTTCGAGGAAAATTAATATCGGGAACATGAGAAAAATATACATTCTAAATATGCACAAAAATATGTGCCCACAGTGAGTCGAACACTGGGCTCCTCACCCACAACGAGGTGATATAGACACTAATCGATGGATACCCATGGAATTCCGTCAATGTTCTGGTATTAATTGTGGTATTGCGCAAACACGTATAACAATACCATGTTAAATAACTCGTGATTATATCCAGAAGAGCTTATGAGACACTGCGAACAATGAGCTCCTCAGCAGTTGGAGATCGAGGGCGGATCGTGCACTTGAATTCAGTGGCGGAACTGGGTAATGTGTTGGTTAGCCGAAATTAAAAAAATCAACACAATACTCACGAAACGAAGGCAGAACGAATTTTGGCCTCAACTGGAACTTCCTTTCCGGATCCATCTCGTTCTTTCGATATCTCGAAAACTTGCAAAATTGAAGCAATTGCCAGGAAAACGGAATTCATGGCCATGTGACGTCCCGAACAGATCCTATGGATGCTCAGCTATCCGGGACGGAAGACGGAAGATAAACTCACCTCCGTCCGAAGCCGAAGGCTCCGGTACTTCGTGGGGCACGTACTCCGGGAATAAAATATCTCTCAGGATCGAATCTATTTGTGTTTGGACCAAAATCGGCCTCATTGTGGAGGAGCATCCTAAACAAAAAAATAGCTCATTAAATTAAGGAATATATTTCCATATCAGAGTTTTACCATGCATTCCCGAACACGATTGTCCCTTTGGGAATAAAATAACCCTGTACCACATCGTCCTCTGAAGCCACGTGCGGCACACCGCTCGGGACCAGTGGATGCCATCGTAATGCTTCCTTGCAAATAGCCAATACGTATGGAAGATCATCAATATCCCCAATTTCGGGTAATCGCTGGAAACCAAGAACACTGTCAATTTCTCTTTGGGCTTTCTTTTGTACTTCGGGATAAAGGATCATCGCGAGCATTAAAGCCCTAACTGTATGTGTAGTCTGTAAAAACTTAGTTTCCGCTTTAATCAGTATTCAGAGACAATACCGTATCCGTTCCTGCCGAAAACATTGTGGCAGCAGCATTCTTTATAACAAGGCCTGTCCTCCGCTTCGCTCCGGCAACCCTTGCTGTGTCCTGTGTCCCACTCCGATCTCCCTTGTACCAGAACCCAAATAGCCCATATGTATGTAATGTTGAAACAGTATTATTGTTTGCGCAATGAACTTTATACATTGGAACTGTCAGTGACAAAAATTAGGCTTTGACACTTGTTCCTCAAAGGTGTAGCAAATAACTAAGGAAGGACATGATTCAAAAGTAAGTTGAGAAAGAAGAGAAGCGGTATGTATGCTTTATAAAGACGAAGCGAAAGCTGGGGATCAACATAGTAGGGGGTCATAGGTAATAATAGAAGGACCAATTGGCTGAAATAAACAGTGGCAGTAAGGTGAGGACGGTCTCTGATTGTGCAGGAGTTCATCATATAGCAGGGGTGGAAGGTGTACAGTTGAAATTTGGTGTTACTTCATGGAT